GAAGAGAAAAACAGGAGGCTCACTATGAATCTGAGCGGCACAGTGAGATCCTATACCAAATACATTTTTTTTAAAAAAAAGGAAAGAAAATAAATAAAAACTTAAATTTTTTTAAAGGCCACAGAGATAGCTCAACGGTCTAAGCACCTGCCTAGACAAGTGCAAGGATGCAAGTTTGATCTCTGATACTGTACGTGATGCCTGCCCCACCCTGGGTGCACCAAGCCAGCCACCAAGACCAGCCGTGGTGGCACATGCCTGTAATCCCACCACTGGGGAGGCTGAAACAGGAGGATCACTACAAGTCCAACCTGCATAATAAGACCCCATACCAAATACATAAAAATGAAAATAAAATAGTAGTGGAAGAGAGCAAAAGTAACAAGAGGAGAAAGATAAGACTCTTAGTGTCTCTTACAGTACACGCAGGCTACCTGCCCTCGGGCAGTTGTAGCCCCCAAACCCTTAATCCCAGCATCACACACTCTAGATTCAGCCACCTCTGAAAAGCCTGCCCCATAGCTGCATAAGGCTTTTTGGGTGAAGAGGGCCCAAACAAAAACCATAACATTAATCTAGCAAAGCCACAGCTGTTAAGACTAAACATGAGTTCATGTGTTTCTTTGCTGAGTAAGCTTCAGTAAGCAACACCTATTATCCCATGGTCTACCATTTATGGCTTGGTTCTAGAAATATAAAAGCAAAAAAATAGTCCTTTTGCTAAAAGAAGTCACAATTATTTGTTAATAACTTTCTGAAGATAGTAACATTGATGACTTAGACGAGGAGGTTAGTTTGCCATTTAAATCAGAGTAAAATGATAGGGTACACGAGAAGAGAAAGATTTCAAGTAATGACACTGAATAGCGACTCAGGATGGGCCTTAGTTAATTATTTCCGAATACCACACAAAATGACCACTAAAGAAAAAGAGCATCCGTGAACAGACAAACTCTCTCTCTGGCTCTTTGTCTCCATGTCTAGGAATCAGGGCTGGTTAGCCATGGAAACACTGAGAGATGAACTAATTACCTTTAATGTTTCAACTAAAGAACAATACTCAACACACTCCAGCAAAGAGCCTTTCCAAAGCAGGCCTGGTGAGATCCTTATTTTTATTTTTTTTTTATCTTTTTTTTTTTTTATAATGCAGGTTTTCTTGATTATTTGGGGGGGGGGCAGCTCAGTCCACCAGGGGGCGGCGCTGGCTGGCATGTGGTGCTGGGGGATTGAACCGCGGTCCCTGTGCTCTGCTAAGCATGTTCTAAGTAGGTGCTTTGGACCACTGAGCCATCTCATCAGCCCCCGAGATCCTTATTTTTAAAAATTCAATTATATATCAAACCTTAATAACAGCAAAACGACTTTAAGATTTTCTCTTAACATTGACTTCACAAAGTAAATTACTATTTTCTTTAATTACATGTGACATTGCAGGTGGTCTGGAGGGTGTTCCTTCTGTCTACCATCTATAAGTTTCAGTCAAAATTATACCTTAGGCCCTGACTTTGCGACTCAAAATGAGAAAGCAATTCAAACAGTGTTTTGGTCACTTTTATAAAGATTAGTATTCAGGGAGGGTTATTTAATTAGCTGTGTCTTAAAACTGAGAAGGCCCAAGAATGACTGAAATGCCGCACCACAGAAGCTATTCTTGGAAATTTCAACTTACACACCATGAATATGTATCCTCTTATTCCCGCTAGATTTATGTATAATTTCTTCACACATTCTACTAATTTCTTCCTTCTGCTGTGCTGCATTGTTCGATTTGCCTGTGTAGCCACTGTGGAGCTGCTGCTGCTGCCCGTCCACAGCCGCCAGCACACATCTCCTCAGCAGACCAGCTTTGGCGACCAGCTACAGACAGTTCTTCCTCCACTGGCTCACATGCGGCCTGTTACAGAGCCACTCATGCACTGACCACACAGTCTTGACCGTATGGTTTTTACCTGCAGATCTGCACTGCAGACACCTGATGGAAGACTGCATCCTGTTCTTCTTTTCCCAGCACCTAACCCAGGAATTATCACACAGGGAATGCCTGTGATGCCTCAGAGAGAACCAACCGGCCATTTGGAAGCATTTTTGGGTACTGAGGCTACTGGAGGTCAGTATCGATGAACCTGAACCTCCACCTGCTTTTCTCTCCCAGGGTGAACAGGACTCCAAGGATCAAGCCCAGGGGAAGCTTAGCAATGCATTGTGGGAGTTAATCAAAATAAAATATTTCTGTGGATTCCACTTGAAAAGCTGGTGATGCCTAATGAGGGCTTACAAGGAATCTGTTTTTCTTAAGTCAATGCCTTTGCCCTCTATGCAGGAAAGCTGCATAGGAGTTTCTTCATCGAGTGCCCAGTAAAAGGAATTTAGAAGGACTCAACTACAGAACAACTTGTAGTTCCACAAAAGAATATCTGTCTACCTGGATGTGCTCAGTATGTCAAAATTCAGTGCCATGGTAACCAGCAAGTGCCGAGGGTTTTACGAAAAGTGTTCCTTTGAATTAATCTTACTAGCAGGTTTACTTCTCTTCCTCAATCTCCTTGTGCTTAGGCTTTTCATCTGTTTACTTTATCCTAATATACTTTTACATGGAGGTAGGAAATGTATAATAATAATAGTAAATAGCATGTTTTTAACTGAAATACAGTTTCAAAGATAGTACATGCACAATTAAGTCTATTTTGTGATGAGTTATGTTTTACAGGCGATTTAAATCACATTAATACTGGGATGGTAAAAACCAGGCATTTTATCTCCTTATCTTTTTCTCCCCCAATTTAGGAATGAACTGAAGAAAAGTTTAACTTTTTAAATAACTACTTTTTAAAGGAAATGGCAAGAATCACTTTGAAAATAATGCTATTTAACTGAAAGTTGTTTCAAAATTTTTAAAGCTTCTCCAGAATTTAAAAGTAAAGGGAAGGGCCCGTGAGACAGTTCAGCAGACTAAGTCCCCGCCTGACAAGCACTGGACTGGGGTTTGATCCCTAGAACCACGTGCAGCGCCGGCTCTCCCCTCAGGGACGCTGAACTGACCTCCAAGACTGGACATGGTGGTGCACGCCTCCCCAACAATGCGGAGGCTGAGAACAGGAGGATCACTATGAGTCTGAGGTGTGTAGTGAGACCCTGTACCAAATACATTAAATAAATAAATGTAAAGGGAGAAGAAAAATATTAGAGTAGCACATCCTCGTGAATATGTCGCCATGTACAAGTTCAAGGTGTGGGCCTGGGGATAGAGCTCAGTGGCAGAGCAGTTCTTAGCTTGGACAAGGCCCCGGGTTTAATCCTCAGTACCAGAGTAGGAAAAACTTCATGGCAATTTCATGTTTTGCAATAAAGTGCTAACATTCAAAATTCATCACACTGCAACAGAATTCTGAGTACATCAAAAGCACAAGTTGGGGACATGCCATATGCTCTTCACTTTACCAAAAGGGTGAGACCTGGATAGCCACAGTTACTGACACATAGCAGTATTCATAGTAAAATACACTGCCCAAATACTTATAGTAAAGTAAATAAAATATATATTTTCACCCTATATCTGCATTTTATACCCCGTCTTCACTTTATGCCATACTAGGTATGTATAACTCCCTGCCAGCAGTTCTAACTACGTTCTAAGTTTTTAGCCACTACTCTTGGTTCTCAGTCACTGGTTTAAGTTTTGGTCACCGTTCTATGGCCAAGACTATGTTTTCATTCACCCGTCTAAGAGCCTCATGGCCACTCTAGGTTGTTGGCTGTTTTCCAAATTCCTTCACTCTCTTCCTATGAAAACAGAAACTTAAATATATAATGAAAACAAATGTGGTAAGAATGAAACAAGTTCAAAATTAAGATGGCAAAGAGTTCATAAATATGTCTTACAAGGTTATCACTGAATGGGTAGGTAAGAGAGGACGCAATAAAACTTCCGTGACAAACTAAAAGCCTTAGGTGTGTGGCCCTGGGAGCGGATGGGATGAGTTCCACCTGTCCCTAGCACAGCCTCCCACGCAGCAATGGAAAATCAACTCAAGCTACTTGATTCTATTTGGAGAGGGGGAGAGGGACAGGGAGGGAGGGAGAGGGAGGAGACGGAGAGGGAGAGGGAGAGGGAGAGGGAGAGGGAGGGAGACGGATGGCGGGGAGAGAG